AACACTCACGGAAGCAGCTGTCAGGATATCAGATGACGTATTGCATTAGACAAATTTGCTGCACAAGACCTTTTTAAAGTGTTGAAGAGCAAAGATGTCAGTTTGAGGACTAAGGTGCACCTGACACAAGCCATGATATTTTCAATATTTGGATTAGGAAGCTTGTAGAAGAATTGATGTATTTGAGTTATGGTGTTGGAGGAGAATATTGAAAGTACCATGGACTGCCAAAAGAACCAGCAGATCTGTGTTGGAAGAAGTGCAGCCAGAATGCTCCTTGGAAGCCAAGATGGCCAGACTTCATCTCTTATACTTTGGGCATATTGTCAGGGGGAACCAGTCCCTGGAGAGGGACATCCTGCTTGATAAAGTGATGGTCAGAGACAAAGAGGAAGACCCCCAGCAAGATGGATTGGCAAAGTGGCAGCATCAATGGGCTCAAGCATGCCAACACTTGTGAGGTTGGCCCAGGACCGGGCCCTGTTTTGTTCTGTTGTGCACGGGGTCGCTATGAGTCGGTACCTACTTGATGGCACCTAACAACAACAACAACACAGACAGTTCGGACAGCACCCCCACACACACACTCCAGTGTATTTGTCTAGAACTCAGGTCCCCAGCATTGAGAACAGTGATGAAGCAACTTCCTTCTTGAGAACTTTGGATATCGCGTATTTCCATAGAAATAAGTCATGGCCCGCTCAAGACGGGGGAAGGCAATGTTTACTCAGCCTTAAAGGATTCTGGAAAACCATACAGCAGGCTCTTTAATAAAAACACAATAGATGTGAGTTAATGGGGCACAGTTGTTCCTACAATTAGTCCCCAGAAAGTGGATCATGGTCGGCTGTGTCGAGGAAGTCCCTTGGGCCAGCTACTGGCAGTGTGTAGTTGGAAATTGCACTATTAGCTTGGGAGACTGAGGATCCCGGAGGTGCCCTGAGCACACTTGATTTTCCTCTTAACAGATCCCAGGGATCATTAGGAAAGCCATTTGTGGGCATGTACAATGTCAGCTTGATTTCCTTCAGCTCCCGGTCCCATATGCTCTCTGAGCTTAGCCAGACAGTGAAGACAGACAGGCTGCCTCGTTCACTGCTGGTAGTGATGTAAGTTGATAACACTTTTCTTAATGGAAATTTATAATCGCTAGATCAAACATGGAAAAAGCACATTTTGACAAAGAAAACTGTGCTTACAGTCCTCCTATCCCTTAGAACTGGCCACCTGTCATGAGGAGTACCCTTCACACTAGTGTGCCGAGAGGGAAACTTGTTCCTGAAGAGAGACTCATTGACGGAATTTAGGGCCCACCATGATTCTAGCTTCTGAGGGGAATTTAGGGCCCACCGTGATTCTATCTTCTGAGGAGAAGCTGCAGGTCTTTGAAAACTGAAATGCCAGGTCCTGGACCTCACTGTTGTTGTTAGGTGTTGTTGAGTTGGATCCGACTCATAGCGACTCTGTGCCCCACAAAACAAAGCACTGCCCAATCCTGTGCCATCCTCACAATCGTTAGTACACTGGAGTCCATTGCTGGTGGTACTCTCTCGGTCCATCTCATTGGGAGTCTTTCGCTTGTTCACTGACCCTCTACTTTACTAAACACGATGCACTTCTCCAGGGACTGCTCCCTCCTGATGACATGTCCGAAGTATTAGAGACATAGTCTGGCCATCATGGCTGCTAAGGAGCACTCTGGCTGCACTTCTTCCAACACAGACTGTTTTGTTCTTCTGGCAGCCCATGGCACTTTCAATATTCTCCTCCCACACCACAACTCAAAGGCATCAGTTGTACAGTCTGTCTTGTTCATTGTGCAACATCCACATGCATATCAGGCAACTGAAAATACCACGCTTGGGTTAGGTACACCTTAGTCTTCAAACTGACATCTTTGCTGGTCCTCACTGCTAAGGGATTTATAGGAATCCCTGTGTGGTAGCTAAGGTACACTATGCTTGGCAGAGCAGGAAGTCTGGATCCCACCCCTGTGACACATTTCTTGTCTTTCCTTTCTTCCCCATAAAGTGGACAAATGAGATCATTCTTTCAGTAGACAGCCTTAACTGGGGAAGTACAAGTCAGAGGTTGTTGTTGTTGTTAGGTGCCATTGAGTTGGTACTGATTCACAGTGACCCTGTGCACAACAGAATGAAACACTGCCCAATCCTGGGCAACCTCACAATTGTTGCCACGCTTGAGCCCACTGATGCTGCCACTTTGCCAATCCATCTTGCTGGGGGTCTTCCTCTTTTTCTCTGACCCTCCACCTCACCAAACATGATATCCCTCCCTAGTGACTGGTCCCTCCTGACAATATGTCCGAAGTATGAGAGACGAAGTTTGGGCGTCCTGGCCTCCAAGGTGCACTCTGGCTTCACTTCCAACACAGATCTGTTTGTTCTTTTGGCATCCCATGGCACTTTCAATATTCTCCTCCAACACCATGACTCAAATGCACTGATTCTTCTAGAGTCTTCCTTACTCACTGTCCAGTTTTCACATCCATATGAGGTTATTGAAAATACCATGGCTTGGGTCAGGTGCACCTTAGCCCTCAAGCTGACATCTCTGCTCTTCAACACTTTAACAAGGTCTTGTGCAGCAGATCAGTGGTGGTGGTGGTGTGCTGTGGAGTCGGTTCTAATCCATAGCGACCTGTATATGGTTTCCAAGGCTATAAATTTTTACAGGAGCAGAAAACCTTGTCTTTCTCCCACGGAACCGCTGGTAGTTTCGAATCAGTAGGAATAACAAAATAAGCATTTATTTATACGCTTGTTGTTGTTGTCAGGTGCCATCGAGTCGGAACCGACTCATAGCAACCCCATGCACAGCAGAACAAAATAATGTCCAATCCTGGGCCAACCTCACTACCGCTGCCACACTTGAGTTCATCGATGCTGCCACCTGGCCAATCCATCTCGTTAGGGGTCTTCCTCTTTTTCTCTGACCCTCCATCTTACCAAGCATGATAATCCTTCTCCCGCGACTATTTCCTCCTGACAATATGTCCAAAGTATGAGAGATGAAGTTTGGCCATGTTGGCCTCTAAGGAGCACTCTGGCTGCACTTCTTCCAAAACAGATCTATTGGTTGTTATGGCACTTTCAGGATTCTCCTCCAACACCACAACTCAAAGGCATCAATTCTTCTACGATCTTCCTTATTCACTGTCCAGCTCTCACATCCATATGAGGTTATTAAAAACACCATTATTTTTATGCTAGTCGATATAAAACCCAAAGTTGTAGTATCTATTCTCTCTCACAGTGACCCCACAGGACAGAGAAGAACAGCCCCATGGGGTTTTCTAAGGCTGAAGATCTTTACTGAAGCTGACTGCCACATCCTTCTCTGGAGCTGCTGGTGAGTTTGAACTGTCAACCTTTTGGTCAGCAGCCCAACAGTTAAACAAGGTGTCTTCATTAAAGGAGCCTCGGTGGCACAGTGCTTTAAGTGTTGGACTGAAAGGTCTGTGGTTCGAACCCACCAGTTGCTCCTTGGGTGACAATGTGGCAGTTTGTTCCCATAGGGTCACTGTGAGCTGAGTGGACTCGGTAGCAGTGGGTTCTCTCAGTGTAGTGGAGTCTCTGGGCAGGGTAACCAGTGAACAAACCACAGGTAACGGGCACCTGGGAAGGACAGCTTGATGCTCTCTGTCTGAAAACTCAGCCCTTGAAAAGGATGTGGGACACCGTGGTACAGGCACACACTGAGTGCTCAGGAGTCAGAATCAACTGGCCTTTGTTGATTCAATACAATTAAGCTAAAATTGACTGGCTAGAAAACTGGACTATCTTGTCAAGAGGAGGTTTACCACACAACAGTCAGACTGTCTTGTCAAGAGAATGTTTACCACACAACCATCAGACTTCTTGTCAAGAGAACATTTACCACACAACCATCAGACTCCTTGTCAAGAGAACATTTACCACACAACCATCAGACTTCTTGTCAAGAGGACATTTAGCACACAACAACCAGACTTCTTATCAAGAAGAGGTTTACCACACAACAGTCAGACTGTCTTGTCAAGAGGACGTTTACCACACAACAGTCAGACTTTTCTATTAACGTTTGTTCAACTGTATTGAGGGCGCACAGTGTTCCAGAAGTGCTAACGTAGTGAGACAACCTTTTAGTCGCAGGAACCTCCTAGTATAGAAAATAGGACATTGTGAAAATGGCTGCAGGCCTCCCCCATGTGGATCTAGAGCCCAGTTTTTCTCCACACCTCATTCTTTACAATGATCCTGCCAGGATAGCCATGATTCCTTTCATTTAATAGATAGAAACACTGAAGCGGAGACAAGTGAAGTCACTTGTCAAAAGTGGAACCACTCGTATGGATGGGATTCAAACACGATGGCTCCAGGCTCCACCGGGCCAGTTGTGGGCAGTTGGCACAAAATAGTCCATGCTCTGTGATGACAAAAGGTAGGATGTGTCTGATTCTTCTGAACGTTTGGTTCTTCCAACTGCAACATTTGTTTTATCCACCTTGTGGGACAGTCTTCACTTGTGCCAACCACAGATTTTCACTGAAATCCTGTCTGTTTTAAATAAACTCTTCTTTAGACAGACGCACCATTTCGCTTTCATTTAGCAAAATGTCTACTCTTCCTAAAGCTTTCAACAGAATGATCTGTAATGATCCCTCTTAATTGCAGAAACAGAGACTGAAGAAGAACCTATATGCTATTATGAAGTACCTAGAGCAAGCAGCTATGGCACTGTAGGGTACTCACTGGACCACAAGGTCAGTTTGAACCATAAGGTCGGTGGTTCTAAGTCACCAGCCATTCCTTGGAAACCCTATACAGGGTTGCTCTGAGTCAGAACTGACTCAACGTCACTTTACAACAAAGCACAGTAGGCAGGTGTCTACAGATCAGAGTTTATTATTGATGGCCAGGATTGAGAGAGAAAGGAAGGAAGACAAAAGGTGTGGAAACTTCCAGAAAGTGCTCACGGTGGCATCATTAAAGGCCCTGAACCCAGGATGGAAAGATTATTGAAATAGCTAACATTTGCTTCTCTATAGATGTACTGCAATAAAAAAAGAATATGTTTTGTAAATCTATATACTATAGGAAAAAAAAATCTTACATTGGCCAATGCATTTACTCCTGGACCAAGGCGTAGAGAAGCCCTCTGCCCCACGATCCATTTGTAAGGCGCCCAGTCGAGCAGTGATGGAACACAGCCTCACCTCCTTTCAATGTTTCTCAGACTAACTCTGAGTGTCGGTCTGACGTGTCTGTCTGTTCTAGTACTTTATATACAGCTGCATCCTGGGATTGATCTCCTGCTCGGTGTTCCTGCGGATCAACTACGAGTTGAAAATGCTGATCATGATGATGGCCTTGGTGGGTTACAACACCATCCTGCTCCACACGCACGCCCACGTGCTGGATAGCTACAGCCAGGTCTTGTTCTACAAGTAAGCTGCTTCCTCCCTGCCCTAGGATGAGAACGTTGAGTGTGTGTTGAGTAAGTGAAAACTAGCAGTGACCAGTTTACTGATCAACATGGCGAGCAAGAGAGAGATGCTTGGAGATGCTGGTTTAGAGAAACGTGTGTGTGATGTTACAGATCCGCCGGGAGGATAAGTGGGCTAGAGAAAATATGTGTTCTAAATGGTCTGATATGACTAAGGACAGTCCAAATTTTCTCAACTTCAGCACCACTGATATTTGGGGTCAGGTCATTCTCTGTGGTGTGTGCTGTCCTGTGTGTTATAGGATGTGTAAAAGCATCTCTGGTCTCAACTCACTAGAAGATAACAAAGATGGCCCCCAAAGACTGGGAGGAAGTGGAAAGAGCGATATTACACTGGGGACTGTGAGGTCTTATTTGCCACCAAACAAAATGTGTCTGAACAGTTGGATGGAAAACCATGTGCTCTATAAACTTTCACTCAAATCACAATAAAAAGTTGTCAGACATTAGCACAGGTCCCCTGAGGACAGAGAGCTAGCTGGGAGGTACTGAGTCATACAAGCTTAGCTCAGGGATATTTCTGGTTCCATTCCCAACCACCACAAGAAAGTGAATATTTCCATAAAGTGAGCCGCACGCAGGTTCTGGTTTCCAGTGAATACAGAAGGGATGTTGACCCTGTACTGTGTGTGGGAAGTATGCAATACCATGAGGAAAAGGTGTGAAGGACCAAAGTCAAGAAGTGAGCATGCGCTGTTGGGAAGATGGCACCCGTAGACTTGCTCAGTGCAAGGTCACTTCAGACGTTTGATTTGTGAACCACAGTGTCTGGGAAGCACAAGGCGAAGCCCAATGAAGTGAGGTTTGGCTGTATTCACAGAGATAGTAAAACAGGAGTGCATGTATCGACCAGGTGTGGGGCTGAATTACCTTTGGGGACAGGGGTAAGTCTCAACCCGGGCCATTTATGTTCTGTGCAGAAAGTGACATGAGGACTAGACACTGTGGGTGAGCCTGTCATGTTCACTCATGGGACTCGTGGGATCTATTTACCCCCAGAAGCCTGTCAGGAATAGTTGAGTCTCTGCTTGAGAGACTTTGTTTTGATCACTAGCTTACATCTCAGCAGCAAAGCCATGTTCTAAACCAAGTGTTAAGTTGGCATCCGGATCCATCTGCTTCAAGGGTTTTCCTAGGTTTTGTGTTCTCCTGAGAAGTATTTCTCGGAAGATTTACTTGAATTGTTTTCATTTGAAAATGGGGGCTTGTTGTTATGTTGAGAAAAATCGGTCATTGACTCCTCCATCAACACCCTGTGTCCACAAAGATTGTTGTCAAGTGCTGTGGAGTTGGTTCTGACTCACAACTACCCTATGTACAAGAGAATGAAACATCGCCCAGTCCTGACCAGCTTCACAGTTGTTGTCATGTTGCTGCCACTGTATCAATCCATCCCGTTGAGGGGCTTCTTCTGTTTTTGCTGATCTTCCACTTTAACCAAGCCTGATGTCCTCCTTCAGGGACTGGTGTCTCCTGGGCGTGGTGGTGGTGGTGTGCCACCAAGTCAGTTCTGACTCATAACAACCCTGTGTAGGGTTTCGAGGCTATAAATCTTTACGGGAGCAGAAAACCTTAACTTTCTCCTCTGGAGTGACTCGTAAATTCAAACTACTGACCTTGCAGTTAGCAGCCCCGTTCATAATCCACTACGCTACCAGAGTGCCTCCCGATAACAGGCTCAAAGTATGTGGGACAGAGTCGAGCTAGCTTCGTTTCTAGGGAGCAGCTGGCTGCACTTCTTCCAGCACAGATTCCTTAGTTTTTCTTGCAGTGCATGGCATTGTCCGTATTCTTTGTCAACACCGTAACTCCGATGCATTGATTCTTCTCTGGTCATCCTTATTCATTGTCTGACTTTCACGTGTCTAAGAGGCAATTGAAAATAACACTCGAGTCAGGCACACCTTAGTCCTCAAAGTGACATCTTTGCTCTTGAACACTTTAGTCCTCTACATCCTAAAACTCAGCCCTATGGAGGACAGTTCTTTTCTGACATATGAGGTGGGGTCACCGGGAGTCTGAGCCTACTTGTCAGCAAATGGTTTGTTCTTCTGAAACACTTTGTAGAAGTGCTACGTCAGCATATCCTTATTGAATTGAATTTGCGTCAGCCTCTGCACCATGAAACTAATAGAATCTAACTGAGGCCCGTGGAGTTGGAAGAAATGGATAATCGTATTAAGGAAGCGTGGTTATTCCTTATCCACGTTGACAACAGTGAGCTTAGACACTGATACTCCAGTCAATTCTTGAAACAGACAACATACTCCGTCTAGTCTTTCTCGACTGGATCACAAAAGCTCGACGGATCTCTGAGGCAGAACAGCCTCCCTGGCCGGGATGTTTAGCCAGTGATGGGGCTACTTATGAGCTGTGAGGTTCTTGAATGCATTACACATTTGTAGCAAAAGGTGGAAATAGATTAGGAAGTTTCTGATAGGAGGAAATTACTTGTGGGGAGTTGAGTGGGGTGCTGAAAAGACGCACAATCTCTGGTGAAGAAGCCAGCAGCAACGGAGTGGTTATGAACAGGAAGGCACTTTCTCTTTCACTCAGGGTACTTCTAGCTTTGCTCTCTTAGTATGATCTCTGTGTTGTTGTTGTTGTGGTTACATGCCGTCAAGTCGATTCCGACCCATAGCGATCCTATATAGGGTTCCCAATGAGCAGCTGATGAGCTTGAACCACCGACCTTACAGTTCAAATGACTTTGCAGTCTGACACATTAGCCCACAGAGCCACACCAGGAGTCCTGGTGTGATCTCTATAGTAACCTTAATTACAAAACCCCTGCCATCGAATTGATTGTGACTTGTAGCAACCTTACAGGATAAAGTGATTGGCTAGTATGCCCCTGCTTATGAGGTAATGCCCTGTTGCTTTTCATGCACACTATTCAGATGCTTGGGTTATGTCTGTGTGAGTTCCTAATTATCCTCAGACAGGGGCCTTTCCCGAATACACTTTAAATGTGGCATTTTAAATGGCTACAACAGGAAGATGGTCTAAAGCAACAGGGTGTTTTTAGCAGAGAAATCTATGTGTATCCAACACTTCAGGTGCATGGATAATTTACAAAACCACATCAAAGATGTGCTGACAGAGTCAGGAAGTGGGAAGGAGGAAACGAAAAAAGTCTACCTGGCACGTGTGCCATTGAAAATCCATTGGACAGGAGGCCAGCAGCGTGCCAGCCCTGAGCCTCTCCGGCCGCTACGTGATTCTAACCTGTCTGCTCCTAATGAAGGAGATGCAGACATTTCTGGGTTTCGAATGCCCAGAGCGAGATGTTCCCTAATTCTTTGGCATTTTCACCAGCGCTGCAAATGGTTTGTAAGTGGCTGACATTTTTCAGAATTGCTTGATGGCTCTTCCTATCCATGACACACTCACCCGAAGCCCTGAGCCAGCATGGCTGAGGACATGGAGTCCCCTCGAGGTGATGGTGCTGATGGTTGAGATTGTCGGAAGCGGTTTTGTGAGTCACTTCTCAAGCACGCTTTGTATTCGCCTGGCAAAGGCTTGCTGCCCGATGTGCAAGATGCCGTCAGGTTCCAACTTCGCTCTTGGGGGGACTGGGAAGCCTCCAGGGGGTGGGTGCTGTCATTATGTGAACCCAGCCATTGCGTTAGTTCACTGAAAAGCTGGAAAACCAAACCAAGGCACGCCCACTGCAGTTGAGTCCATTCTGACTCTTGGCGACCCCGTGGGACAGAGTAGAACTGCCCCGCGAGGTCTCTGAGATTAAATCTTCACAGGAATAGACAACCTCATCTTTCTCTCATGGAGCAGCTGGCCTTGTTCCAGCCCAATGTTGAACTCATGACACCTAAAAAGCAAACCCAAGTCCGTTGCCATTGGCTTGCTCCTGACCCATAGCTGCCTGCCCTGCATAGGATTTCCGAGACTGTAAACGAAAGCCTAATCTTTCTCCCCCAGAGCAGCTGTTTGAACCACCAACCTTGTGGTTAGCAGTTCAGTGCTTCCTCAGGAAGCACCTTCAAGTCTAAGGAGGGTGGAGGGTTGGACAGAGAGGCTAGCAGGGAGCCAGGTGGACACTCTGGCTGTTGTGGACCGTATACCTAGTACGATCAGCTTTGTGTGAGCAGAACATAAACAAGTCATCACATCCATATGCCACACTAAGCTCAGGTTCATGTTCAATGCCAAGAGAAATGTCTGGAGAGTAGTAACATGCTGTTGTCAATTGACTCGTGTGCCTCCAAAGGCTACGCAGGCGTCCTTAGCCCTGTGCCTTGGAGAGACAAGGTTGTTTGTTCATTACAGATGTCACCAGTTGTCAAGGTCCTAAGAGGAGGGTAGGAAAGAGGGGGTTTCAAAAAGCGTGTGGGAATAGTATCGTTTCGTTCCATGTTTCCATGAACTTTTTGAAGATCCCTCCGAGTAGTGTCTTATAAAATTGGAGAACAGACACGAAGCCAGACAGAGGAAAGATAACCATGTGGGTGTTCATTTAATATGAAGGACCAGCAAGAGGCTCCAGGCCTCCCCGCAGCTAGGGAGACTTCCCCATGCAGAGTTACCACCTGTCTGTCAGTGAGGACTTGTGTGCTGCTAAGGAGTCCTGGTGTGGCGCTGTGGGTTAATGCGCCAGACTGCGAAGCGCTTTGAACTTCAAGGTTGGTGGTTCAAGCTCACCAGCTGCTCCTCAGAAACCCTATACAGTGTAGCTATGGGTCGGAATTGACTCAACGGTACTTAACAACAACAACAGCATGATGCCCAGCAGACTTCAGGGGGCTCCTGGTGTGGTGCCTTTGGGTCAGCACCGTACTGTGAACCACAAAGTTGGCAGTTCAAACCCACCAGCTGCTCCTCAGGAACCCTAGACAGGGTCACTATGAGCCGAAACTGACTGGATAGCACTTAACAACAACTTCAATTTACGGCAGACCCAGAAACCAGCCAGTGATAATCCTG